AAAGTATATATTCCAAAGACATCTGCATAAATAATTTTAAAAAAATGTAAGCAAATTTAAGAAATTCTAAAATAGAGAACTTATAACATTGTACTTAATTAATCAACGCAACAACATACATCCCAATAACAAAATCAATCACACGAAGACACTGTTGAACAAAATATTGCATCGACATTTAATGTAGGATATGAACATCTTTAAAGTAAAGATAGAAAAGAGTACTATAATAGCAATTTCAATAAAAAAAAACTGTCTATTTATCAAATGAGTACAATCATATCATTTATGAGTTTTAAAATTAAATTTATAGGAACACAATAAAAGGGTAACTTTTTTTAGATTAAGAAATATGCAATTGATTGACCAGAGCATAAAACTTTGTTCAAACAAAGAACCAAACAGAAAGACAAAAAAAAGATTCATGCAGCCGAGTTTGAATTTATTGGGAATGAAACTTAGTTATGTTGGTGTTTGGGTTACATAGTCGTCAAAATGGAATATTCAATCCTTAGCTTCCATGTGACATGCAATCTCTTACGACTTATTCCATCTCAAAGCTGGAGAAAACAAGCTACAACATTCTATTTGACATGACCCATTCCGAATCACCTTAATAGACTCGACACGTGTCATGTGCCGACGGTAGATACCAGCTAAACGTCGGACCCACCACCAAAGTAACTTTGACTTGTTTGACTGAAAAATATTTTTAACAGAATTTTGACAAAATTTCCTCTAAAATACGAACTAAAACCACCTAAACAATAACCAATTTTCCTCAAATCAATACCTATAATAAAAATCAGGGTATGCTAGTCCCTCAAAAATACAAACTATTCAAATAAAATGCTAGGAAATCAATATTTACTTGCTTTACAACCAATAATCTTCAAAAGTACAAAAGATACCAAATATCTAGTGAGCCCATAATGAACTTTTCTGATTTAACCTATGTGTATCCCAAAAGAACACAATGTATAATCTGATAAAGATATCATACAACCTATGACGCGTGGCTCAATTCGGTGGTTCGACATGCTCCAAAACTGCTCAATTTGTCTGTTTTCTGTCAGATAAAGAAAAAAGGTGAAAAAAATATATGAGCTTAAAGCTCAGTGAGTGGATAATTTACAAATAAACATATTTTTCTTTTATGCATATATTCTGAAAATTCTTGCTCTATCAAAACTTTGAGAAATTCTGAAATCTGGTAACACTTTTAAAACTAAACATAATTTCATCATAAAATTCTTTGTTCTAAATTCTAGATAAGTATATGTAAGGTATAACAATTATAAAGAATTTCATATTCATGAAAATCTATGAAATATTGCTGCTGCTCAATACTAGAAGTTGAAAGCTTTATTCTGAAAACTGAATTCCATAATCTGAAATCTGAGAACTGAATAAGTACTGAAAAATCACACCATAAAGAGTACCCAATGAATAGCCTTACACATGTACAGAGTAATCTCTATGTACAACGCAAAGCCATTCAAATTTGATAATCTAATAGCTGATAATCTGGTCATACGTACGCAGAGCTGCTTCAAAGGCTAATCACCCTAGTACACGGCCCAAAGTCTATGTGTGTACGAGAGTGGGTCCCAAAGACCTCTGATAATCTGGTCATACACTATGGAAAAACATTCACGATAGTGCAGAGCGGGTAAAATCACTATAACTAGTCATACACTGTGGAAACATATTCACATCAGTGCAAACTGGGGTAAAATCACCTGGGTACATTCTGGTGGTTTTTAGAAATAACTTTAACTATACTGAAACATGTAATAAGAATATAACATGCTACTAAAATAATTTAACTGAACTGAATTTAACTTTAAAAGCAGTTGATAATAAAATTCATTTTATTCTGAAAATCATGCTATGAAGTCAATTTTATAAAATAAATAACTTTAAAATTTAAAGAAGACTTATTTCTGAAAAATAAGTTTTATCCACTCACCAAGTAATAGTCGACCAAGGTTTCAATCTTTTCGTTGCCGCTTCAACTTCAAATATCAAGTATGATATTGCGCACTCACTCTAGTAAATCATATTCCCTTACCAAGATACCTTGAGTATTTCCTACCATTTGAAATATTAATTTACCAATGGGAACATGATATATTTTTATTTTCAACCTCGTAATCCCAATTAAAGTCACTAACAACATGTACTCCTTTATAAATTATTTAAACACCAAAACTCCAAATAATTAACACTTAATTTGGTTGAAATACTAGAAATCCAAGAAAATTAGATGATTGACAAAACTAGCACTATAACTCCAGAATATTGAAAACTAGTACCAATGTCTATATATTAAAATCTGTCACCAAAAATATTGACAAAACTAGCACTTTTCTGGGCAGAATTTCAAAAGCAGCGCCTGTGTAGGACTTGTCCAAAAATTGCTTATAATTATTATTTAAAAAATGGAGAAATCAACCCCAATTCCATAATTTAAGTGATTAACATCACGTAATCCAAAGAAAATCAAAGAATAAGCACCTATTTCACAAACTCATTTTCAAAGTTTCCCTCCTTTTCTTTTCTTTCTTTCTTTTTTTTTTTTTCCAACACCAATCTTTCAATACATATATTTTTTTTAACATATTCATATTTAATACCTCAAATAAATGTCAATAACCTCTAATTCTAGCTAAACCCTAAACCCTAAACCCTAAAAGAAAACTTAACTCAATATACTTACACTTACCTCTCAAAATCAAATGAGAAATTGAAGAAATGGAGCACCCCAAAATTGAAAACCCACATCTTCTTCTTCTTTCTTCATTTTTTTTCTTCCTCCCTCTTTCTCGATTTTCTCGGTTTCACCCAAGGAAATGAAAGAAAATGGGTCTTATTTCCATTTAACAATTGGACAAAATGAAATTACCAATAATTAGGCTCTCAACTTTGCCATAGTTTGCAATTAAACCCTTATATTTCCATTTAATTTAAAACTTACCTATTTGTTCTTATACTCACAAATTAACCTCAACAAGTACCACTTGTTTATACAAGTCCCCATGAATTTATTTTTTCAACTTAAGTCCTTATTGACTTTGACTTTCACCAATTATATTTCTTGACTTTGACTAAAAATATGAGGGGTATGACAAGCACTATCTCGACATTGGCTAATAATGGAGATTCAAGTTCTGAGAAGTTATCAGTATCACCCTGCGGTCAGAACAGCGTTCCTGAACTAGTCGGACTACAAAGAAACCACTCTTCGACAAAGGTTGTTGTCAAATCATTCAAGCTGTTCGGAAAGACAATTCATATTGCTGATTCCAATGAAAGTGGTGTGGACAACAGTGATACGAACCAGGGCAAACCAGTTTGAAAGGCTTGATGTTGGATTGTAAGCATAGTATCTGATATCATAGCATGTCCCTTACGAATGCAAGTCGATATTTAAATATTATCTCTTAATCATGATATAAACTTTAGCATGCTGTTGTATGATATATAAATCAATTGGTGCTCTAGTTGTATAATGGTTGCAGGGGCGAATCCAGCATCAATGTTCAGATAGGGCGAAAGTTGACTTTGACTATTGACCATTGATCGTTGACCGTCAACAATCAAAGATCATAATAGCCCGATCGTTTATTAAAATTTGATTAAATAATATTAAAAATTGTTCAATATATATGTAAATGCACTAAAACGTGAAAATTATATACATATGAAAATATAGTTCAATACAACCCAAAATGCTAAAAAAGTATACGACAAAAACCAAGCAAACACTTGTTTGATTTTCTACCATGACATAATGCAATGATCAAGCTTAGAGCAATTCAAATTAAAAGAATTTAAGATATGCTACATGAGCAATTTACCAGCGAGATAAACCCAAGGAACAAAGGTAACAACATCAAGACAAAATAAGTAACCTCAATTAATCACTTGAAACCCTTTAACAAGTAACAAAAACTGCAATCATTTTTCACTACAAGACTAGTTTCAGAGAAACAGAAGTTGAGAATGTCTATTTATTGAAATTTGTCACCAAAAACATTGACAAAACTAGCACTTTTCTGGGCAGAATTTCAAAAGCAGCGCCTGTGTAGGACTTGTCCAAAAATTGCTTATAATTATTATTTAAAAAATGGAGAAATCAACCCCAATTCCATAATTTAAGTGATTAACATCACGTAATCCAAAGAAAATCAAAGAATAAGCACCTATTTCACAAACTCATTTTCAAAGTTTCCCTCCTTTTCTTTTCTTTCTTTCTTTTTTTTTTTTTCCAACACCAATCTTTCAATACATATATTTTTTTTAACATATTCATATTTAATACCTCAAATAAATGTCAATAACCTCTAATTCTAGCTAAACCCTAAACCCTAAACCCTAAAAGAAAACTTAACTCAATATACTTACACTTACCTCTCAAAATCAAATGAGAAATTGAAGAAATGGAGCACCCCAAAATTGAAAACCCACATCTTCTTCTTCTTTCTTCATTTTTTTTCTTCCTCCCTCTTTCTCGATTTTCTCGGTTTCACCCAAGGAAATGAAAGAAAATGGGTCTTATTTCCATTTAACAATTGGACAAAATGAAATTACCAATAATTAGGCTCTCAACTTTGCCATAGTTTGCAATTAAACCCTTATATTTTCATTTAATTTAAAACTTACCTATTTGTTCTTATACTCACAAATTAACCTCAACAAGTACCACTTGTTTATACAAGTCCCCATGAATTTATTTTTTCAACTTAAGTCCTTATTGACTTTGACTTTCACCAATTATATTTCTTGACTTTGACTAAAAATATGAGGGGTGTGACAAGCACTATCTCGACATTGGCTAATAATGGAGATTCAAGTTCTGAGAAGTTATCAGTATCACCCTGCGGTCAGAACAACGTTCCTGAACTAGTCGGACTACAAAGAAACCACTCTTCGACAAAGGTTGTTGTCAAATCATTCAAGCTGTTCGGAAAGACAATTCATATTGCTGATTCCAATGAAAGTGGTGTGGACAACAGTGATACGAACCAGGGCAAACCAGTTTGAAAGGCTTGATGTTGGATTGTAAGCATAGTATCTGATATCATAGCATGTCCCTTACGAATGCAAGTCGATATTTAAATATTATCTGTTAATCATGATACAAACTTTAGCATGCTGTTGTATGATATATAAATCAATTGGTGCTCTAGTTGTATAATGGTTGCAGGGGCGAATCCAGCATCAATGTTCAGATAGGGCGAAAGTTGACTTTGACTATTGACCATTGATCGTTGACCGTCAACAATCAAAGATCATAATAGCCCGATCGTTTATTAAAATTTGATTAAATAATATTAAAAATTGTTCAATATATATGTAAATGCACTAAAACGTGAAAATTATATACATATGAAAATATAGTTCAATACAACCCAAAATGCTAAAAAAGTATACGACAAAAACCAAGCAAACACTTGTTTGATTTTCTACCATGACATAATGCAATGATCAAGCTTAGAGCAATTCAAATTAAAAGAATTTAAGATATGCTACATGAGCAATTTACAAGGCTTGATGTTGGATTGTAAGCATAGTATCTGATATCATAGCATGTCCCTTACGAATGCAAGTCGATATTTAAATATTATCTCTTAATCATGATATAAACTTTAGCATGCTGTTGTATGATATATAAATCAATTGGTGCTCTAGTTGTATAATGGTTGTAGGGGCGAATCCAGCATCAATGTTCAGATAGGGCGAAAGTTGACTTTGACTATTGACCATTGATCGTTGACCGTCAACAATCAAAGATCATAATAGCCCGATCGTTTATTAAAATTTGATTAAATAATATTAAAAATTGTTCAATATATATGTAAATGCACTAAAACGTGAAAATTATATACATATGAAAATATAGTTCAATACAACCCAAAATGCTAAAAAAGTATACGACAAAAACCAAGCAAACACTTGTTTGATTTTCTACCATGACATAATGCAATGATCAAGCTTAGAGCAATTCAAATTAAAAGAATTTAAGATATGCTACATGAGCAATTTACCAGCGAGATAAACCCAAGGAACAAAGGTAACAACATCAAGACAAAATAAGTAACCTCAATTAATCACTTGAAACCCTTTAACAAGTAACAAAAACTGCAATCATTTTTCACTACAAGACTAGTTTCAGAGAAACAGAAGTTGAGTGGGTCCTACATAAAAATATTACTGATTTAATCCAACCATTCATCAGCACATATCAATTAATAAACAAAAACCCATAATCTGGTAAAGGAAATGGACAAATCCAATTATTCATGCCAATAAAACTCATAATCTGAAAAACTTAGTAATAAAAAAATAATTATAATTCAATTAATCTGATAATTAATTATAAGTAAAACTTAAGCAAAACCATAAATCTAAAAAACAAGAGAGTGAAGAAAAAAATTAATTACCTTAGACCCACGCTACTTGCTCAGCCTTGGTCGTCGGAGATTTACGTCTGACTTCGCACCAGTTCGCATATGGTTTATCGCTCGCACGTCTGACTTCGCACCAGTTCGCATATGGTTTATCGCTCGCACAATCGCGATTCCCACTTCGTAGGCATCGTGGCTGCTACTTTTGCTTTGAATGGAAATATGGAAATGGAAGGAAGGGTTTGCACTTTGGGTCTTTGCGTCTTTGCTGTCGGTTTCAAATGTTGGGGATTTGGAATTTGGGGTGTTGATTTACGTTGGAGGAAATACCATGGATGATGGACCAACATTAATAAACAAAAACCCATAATCTGGTAAAGGAAATGGACAAATCCAATTATTCATGCCAATAAAACTCATAATCTAAAAAACTTAGTAATAAAAAAATAATTATGATTCAATTAATTTGATAATTAATTATAAGTAAAACTTAAGCAAAACCATAAATCTAAAAAACAAGAGAGTGAAGAAAAAAATTAATTACCTTAGACCCACACTACTTGCTCAGCCTTGGTCGTCGGAGATTTACGTCTGACTTTGCACCAGTTCGCATATGGTTTATCGCTCGCACAATCGCGATTCCCACTTCGTAGGCATCGTGGCTGCTACTTTTGCTTTGAATGGAAATATGGAAATGGAAGGAAGGGTTTGCACTTTGGGTCTTTGCGTCTTTGCTGTCGGTTTCAAATGTTGGGGATTTGGAATTTGAGGTGTTGATTTGCGTTGGAGGAAATACCATGGATGATGGACCAATCATTTATTGATTTCGTCTATTGGCCTAATTTTTTTAAACAAAAAGAGGCCCATGGTCCAATCATCAGCCCAAGCCCCAAAGAAAAAAAATGTAACTCTTTTTCTTTCCCCCTTCAACCCTTCGTCTCTGCAACTGCCCGCGAGGCTACGCCTGCAGTCTGGCGGCAACTGAACATTTTGGCAGAGCCAGCATGTGCAGTCGTGCCCCCTCGCCGGGTCCTAGCTCCACCCCTGAATGGTTGTATCACTTTGTTTAGGAACCAAAAACTTGAATCTTAATTTCTCGATGCGACTTGTTTTATGATGTTATGTTGTATCTCCTCTAACGAAATACTTTAGTAATGTTTATGCCATGTTTTCTACATCTAGCTTCCCTATACTTTTTGAGAGCTGAACGTTCGACTTGCAACAGTTTGTAAACCAAGAAAAGGCGTCAGTTCTTAGGAATGTAATTTGTTCAGTCCAATCATTCATGAAGTACTTGTCCTCTTGAAAAATTGAAGTTGTTATCAACAGTAGAGACTATTGCAACACCAATAAATTACGTGACATACGCGTGACAGAGACTATTTAATTAATTGAACTCATTTAATTAAAGACTTGCATATTATGCTTGGAGCTCAGCTCATCTCACT